GAGGAGGAGGAGGAGGAGGAGGAGGAGGAGGAGCAGGAGGAGGAGGGAGGAGCAGGAGGAGACCCCTTCCCTGCACCAGCCTCCCGCCCCAGAGCGGCCGGCCCCTTTCCCCCTGCCTTCCTGCCCGGCCCCGGGGCGCGCAGCGGGCCAAAGCCCCAGGCGCCGGCAGCGGCGCACGCGCCACGGCGTCGGGAGCCCGTGGGCTCGGGGGTCCCGCGGATGGCCCCTGGCGCTTGGCATCGCTCGGACGTGTGCATTGTTCCTTCGGCGAGGACCATCGAGGAGCATCCTTGATCATTTGGCGAAAAAACCACGCACGAAGCCGAGCAAAAACGCAGGCAACGGGCGTCCGAGCGATGGCGAGGGACCCCCCCAAAGAGACCACGATCGTTGAGTTCCTACGGTGAAATGTGCATGTTTGTCGAGATGCGGCTTTTTCGGCCTTCACGGTTTCGACAGTGGCCCAGGAGGCTCCCGAGACTTGCCCACGAGAGCATAAGACACGCCCAAGAGGCTCCCAAGACAGCCCAAGGGGGGCCAAGACGGCCCAAGGGCTGTCCAAGACGGCCCAAGTTAGCCCCAAAACGGGCCTGCGGATGGCCCCATGACGGGTGATCGCCGAGCGCGTTCCGCTATTCGCAAAGTGCCTACTCGCAAACGTCCGAGCAACAGCATGCCTTCCGCTGCGTAATGGATCGTAGACCCCACGCGACGGATCCAGGCCATTTGCGAGTAGTTGCTTTGCGAGTAGTGGAGCGCGCTCGTCGAGGTGAGGACCCCCCATGGGGGTACAGCAACCGCAGGAGGTCTTTCATGACGCGGGGGACCCCCCTCCCGAAGCTCTAGGCCGGCAACGGAGCCCTCGTCCCTCCCTCCCCGTCCTCCTCATCACCACCTGAGCGCCGCGGCAGAACGGGGCCGACTGCGCCGACGTTCGCGCGCAAGCTCCTCGCGTGAGGTTGCGTGTGGGCGCCTTCCGGTTCCAGAGCAGCGTGCCGCGCCGGCGGCCCGCGTAAGCCACCGCGTGAGGTCTCTACGTCATTCAGGAGGAGGAAAAACACACAGACACAATTAATCGTCCACTCCCAGGCAAATATGGGAAACTATGGGCAGTGGGGGGGGGAGACAGAAACCCAGAAAATATGGGAAAATATGGGGGATCCTTTTGATCTGTGTGTACTTATTTGTGTGTCCCAGGGCCCCTTCAGTCATCCCGGGCAAGCACCGTTTGTGATCCTTCCCCCGCGGAGGCCGCCGTGGAGGCCGCCGGGGGGGGGGAACGCTGGACGCTCCTGCAGCGTGCAGGGGCCCCCTCGCCCCTCGGTGGTTTGGCCCTTCGCCGCGGTGGCCCCTCTCGTGGGCGGGGCTCGGGGGGCGCGGCTGGGGCCACGCCAGGGCCAGGGGAGCGAAGAATGGCATACACTTTTTTTGATCTGCAGGGCGAGAGCGAACCTCTTCCGCGGAAAGCTGCGCGGGACGCGCACTTGCTTTCATTGGCAGAGGAAGGCCGGGAGCAGGCGGGGCCTCGCGCGGCCAGGGGCGGGCGAAGCCCGGGGATCAAGAACGGCAGAGACATGCGAACTCGGAGGTCCGCGCAGAGTTCTCGGATCCGCGCTGGGCCCCCCTGGCGGCGCCTCCGGCGGCGCCGCCGCCGCCGCCGTCGCTCTCGCCGTCCGGGGGGCCGAGGGAGCGGCCGCCTCGGGCGGCCCCGTCTCGGAGCCTGCCTGGCGCCCGATGTGCACGTCCTCCAGACCCGCCAGCGCTCGGAGACGTCCTCCAGACGCTGGGCGACGACGGCGACGGCAACGCACAGCGACGGCGACGGCGACGGCGACGACGACGACGGCGGCGGCGGCGGCGACATCCGATTCTGGCGACGACGGCGTCCGAACCTGGTCTCGTACCGCCTTTGTCTTGCGCCTCGGTCGGTGGCCGCGTGAAGGGGGGGGGTGAGAGATGCTCAGGGGGGACGCGTCGACCCACGTCGCCCATTGATCGCCGATAGGGGCCGGCTGGCCCGTCCCGCCCAAGACCCTGCGGATTCGCTCTCGGGGCCTTTCGCCGATCTATCGGCAATGCATGGCCGATTCAAGCTCGCTGCTTCCACCCTACCGGTCCCTCCCTCCAGTTCCCCATTCACTCCGGGCGCGGCGAAGAGGGGGAGTTGCTGACCCGGGTGCCCGGGTCGCCCGCCTTCAGGCGCCCGGGTCGGCCCGCCCTCCGGCGCCTCGCAGGTCCATTTATCTCGGCGTTTCCTCTCGCTCCGCCTGCCGCCGCCCCGCCCCTGAGGTGGCCTCCTCCCGCAGCTTCGGCGCCTGGTGGGTCGGCCCGATCTCGGTGCACTGCTGCCGGACTGCGCCGCCCGTCCCCGGCACTGCCTGGGCCGGCCCGCCCCCGCTCCGCGCGGCTGCCCCTGGCTGCTGCCCATCTCCGGCTGCTCGCTGCCGCCGCCCTGGCCACCCCGGCGCCGCCGTGCCGTTGCCCACCCCCGCTTTGAGCGGGCCCGGCTTCCTGCTCCCTCTCGCGCCGCTCCGGGCCTGGCCTTCTCCCCCCTCTCCTCCCGTGCACCGCGGCTTCGTTCGCAAGTGTATGACTACATGTGCCCCATCCGCCAGCGCAGTCACTCTGCCTAGCCGCCGACGCAAAAGTGTGTGTGTGTGTATCAGTCTGCGTCAGTGTGTCAGTGTGTCAGTGTGTGTGTGTGTGTGTTTGTGTGATTGTGTGTGAGTGTTTGTGTGTGTGGACATCATGGCCAGGACCACGACGTCCTCAGACTGTATGGCGCCCCTTGCAGCACGCCCAGTGCGCCCCCCCCCCTCTCCTCTGACATCCCAGAGCCCGACGCCCTTGGAAACCAAACGTCGCGAAAGACCTTGCGTTCTTACCTCCCCCCCTGCATCGAGCCGCACCGAACCGAATCGGACCCGCGCGGGCCCGGCGCGCGAATCGAGTCGCAGCGACGCGGGCCGTGGGCCGTCGCGGCCTGGGCACGCCCGGCGCCCTGCGCCCCGGGCCCCCTCGTGCGGCCAGGGGCGCCTCGTGTCCGTGTTCGACGGCGCCACCGAGTACCGCTTGGGGGTGCCCACCGGCGGCGCGGCGCCGTGCGGCGGCGGCGAGCTGGGAGCCGAGGGCGCCTTCTCGTCGTTGTCGTCGTGGTCGTCGTCGTGGTCGTCGTCGTGGTCGTTGTCGTCGTGGTCGTGGTCGTGGTCGTGGTCGTGGTCGTGGTTGTGGTCGTGGTTGTGGTCGTGGTCGTGGTCGTGGTCGTCGTCGTCGTCGTCGTCGTCGTCGTCGTCGTCGTCGTCGTCGTGGTCGTCGTCGTCGTCGTCGTCGTCGTCCCCAGATCTCCGACGATATGATTCTCCAAACAGCTCGTTCACTTAGGGATTCTTGCTCCTGTTTCAAGGAACTGGGCCTGGCTGGCGGTCTGGCGGTTATGCTGTCGCCGTCGCCGCCTCGTCGCCGCCCGTCGTCTGGAGCATAGATTGCACCACATGGAAACAACATTGCACAACGTAGATTGCGCAACATAGATTGCACAATATAGCCTGCACCACATGCATCGCACCATGCACCACGTATAGTGCTCCACATAGATTGCATCACATAGCTTGCACCACATGTATTGCACCATGTAGATTGTAACACAGCCTGCGCATCATCTATTGCACAGCATCCGCATAGTTTGCTCGACATATTGTGAAGGCCTTGCGGCCAGTGCCGCCGACCCTGAAGGAGAGGCCTCTCCTGGGACCTTCGCTTGCGCCCTTGCCTGGGTCCCGCTGGGACCTCGGGGCGGCCTGGCATTGTGACCGACGTCTCCCTCCGTTCACTATGCCTGTCCATTGTGGACCTTGGGGGAGGAGGGTCGCCCAAAGTTGGACACCCTGTGCCTCTATGTCAGCGTGGGCTTGCGGATACTCTCCTGCGAGCCCTACAGGACCTCTTCGGCCGTCTTGAGGCATCTTGGATCCTCTTCGGCCGTCTTGGAGCCATCTTGGATGAACTTGGAGGCCAGCTTGGGCCATCTTGGCCGTCTGGGGGGCCATCTGGGCCTTCTTGGGGGCCATCTTGGGGCCATCTTTTGAGCGGAAGGCCACTGGGTTCCACATTTTTCCTGGCCTTCCAGGTGGCCGGCGCGCAGTGGACCGAAGCCCCATGGGTAGTTCTGAGAGAACCCAAGACCGCCAGAAGTCCTGCACGCCGGGCACCCCTGTGGCAAGCCACGGGGGGCGGCGGGTGACAGACTGCGCGCGCAGCGTCGCGATCCGTTGGTTGGGAGAAGTAACAGGGGTGGGGTGGGGGGGGTTGGCAGCCGCGGCCCCAGATGTACTGTAGGTTTGCGTCGTGTCGACCAGCGGCGACCCCAGCGCGGGCGTTCAAGGTTGAACGCCGCCGGCGACCCAGAATCGATCGATGTTGAACGATCGGACGTTGCGGCAGCGGCCGATCGTTCAAGGTTGAACGATCCCTGCGGTGTCAAAAACCAACGCTGGGGTCGGCACGACACGAACCTGCCGTAATGGCCCTAATTTCAGACGGCCCAAGTCAGCCACAAGTGCGCCGAAGAGGCCCCCAGGACGGCCGAAGACAGCCCCAAGAGCGCCTAGAATACTTCCAAGACAACGTCGGCCAAGACGTCTAGCCTTTCGCCCCAAGACGCTCCCAGGAGGCCCCCAGAGCCCCCCAAGAAGCCCCAAGAGGCCCCCAAGAGGCGTCCCAAGAGGCCACCAGGAGGCCAAACTCATTGATTTCCTATGGGGAAAGGTACAGTTTGAGCATACAAGGCTTTTCAGCTTTCACGTCGTTGAAGACGGTTCAAGAGGCCCCAAAGACCACCCCAAGACGGCCCAAGAGGCTCCCAAGAGGCCCCCAAAACGGCCCAAGAGGGCGCCAAGATGTCCCAAGAGGCGCCCAAGACTGCCCAAGAGGGCCCCAAGACGGCTCCAAGAGGGGGACCACGAACCGAAAAGTCTAGCCTTTCGCCCAAAGAAGCTCCCAGGAGGCCCCCAGAGCCCCCCAAGAAGCCCCAAGAGGCCCCCAAGAGGTTCCCAAGACGCCTCCACAAGCGCCCGAAAAAAGGGCCCCAATAGGACTCCCAAGAAGGCCCAGAGACGCCTTTTCAGGAGCGATCGGTAACGCAAGAAACTCTTCACACCAAGGCTCCCAAGAGCGAACGGTGACGTAAACAAGCTGATAAGACCAAGGCTCCCAGCAGAGAGCGGTGACGCAACAAGTTCCTGACACCAAGGCCCAGCCAACGCTCAGGAACGGGCGGCAACGCGCCAATCTCTGAGCACCAAGGCTCCCAAGAGCGAGGGGTGACTTAACAAGCTCTCACCGCAAAGGCTCCCGGTACGAACGGTGGTGTGAGTCATTTCGGTTTCTGCTTCTGAAGCGCCCTTTTCCGTTTCTGTGCCTGGCCAGGTCTAGTGGCCTTCGGCCCATCCCGCCACCGTTCAAGCAGTGGCGAGGCGTCCTGGCTCGCCTGTAGCCCTACCAAACAATGTTCTAGGAACCTTTTGTGGTCTCCACGAAATGTTCTTAGAACATTTCTGGCAGAGATTGTCCTGTTTTATCACATCGGGTCTATGTTCTAAGAACATTGTCATGATTGTTAGAACATTTTTGGGTTCTAAGAACATTTCGTGGTAGGACTATAGGAATGCCGGGACGGTCGGTCCCTGCTCAAACGGTGCTTGCGTTGTGGGTCAGAGGCGTCTCGTCTACATGTTGGTGTCTATTAGGACGCCCTCTCGGGGGCCTTCTTGGGAGACTTCTCGGGGTCCCGCGGGAGGCTTTCTGGGGAGCAGGAGGCCCTGCATGGCGCCTCACCGCTTCATGGCCGCGCCACCGGCAGTGGTTCTCGTTTCACGGCCTTTCACTCGTTTCACCGATAAGACCAAACGCGACGGCGACGACGACGACAAGGACGACGACTGCGACGACGGCGACGAGGAGGACGAGGAGGAGGAAGCCCTCTTGGGCCGTCTATGGGCCTCCGAGGGCACTCTGGGTTCGTTTTGGGACGTTTGTGAGCCTCGGGACCCCCCCAGGACCCCAGGACTTTCCCTGGGAAGCCCCCCCCATGACCTTTTCCATGACTCCCCCCTGGACCTCCCCCCCGGGACCCCTCACCTTTCGGAGGGGAACATAATCAAAGGGAACGGGCCTCCCTTCGTTTCAGCTACGTACGACGTTGCTCAATGTCGCTTTGGTTTCGCGTTGGCTGGCTCGCTTGAGGAGGAGGGCCCAGTGAAAAGGGGGAGCGTCGACGGGCCAAGGGAAAGGAGACCAAATGCGACGGCGACGGCGACGGCGACGACGACGATGACGACGAGTCAAACAGGACAGCGTTTTCCACACGTCGACAGGGTGGGCGGATTTTGCACCACCTAGATTGCTCCACATATTTTGAACCACCTCGTTTGTTCCACATATATTGCGCCACGTATGCTGCCTCACTCAGATTGCACAACATGTTTTTGGTGCCCGCGCTGACTACCATGGTTCAGTCCGGGAGATTTCCTAGATTTCGGCCTCCCGGGCCTGTTCTTGGGCCAAGGGACCATCAAACATGGATCCAAGGCGAAAACTAGCACCTTGGAAGGGGTCGGGGCCTCTTGGGTCAAGCATTGAAAGCATCGCATCGTGGGATGTCTGGGGGCGTCGTCGTCGTCGTCGTCGTCGTCGTCGGCGGCGGCGGCGGCGTCGTCGTTTCGTCGTCGTCGTCGTCGGCGGCGTCGTCGTCGTCGGCGGCGGCGGCGGCGTCGTCGTTTCGTCGTCGTCGTCGTCGTCGTCGTCGGCGTCGGCGTCGGCGTTGTCGTCGTCGTCGTCGTCGTCGGCGGCGGCGGCGGCGGCGTCGTTTCGTCGTCGTCGGCGTCGTCATGGTCGTCGCCTTCGTCCATGGTTCTCCCTCCTCTGCTCGCTCCTCCCTCTCCTCCTGTCCGCGCCGCCGCCTCGTCCGTCGCCGTTGACAAGGCGCGCCGGGCGGTGGCGGCGGCGAGCTGTTGGCCGAGGGCGGCGCGGGGGGGCGCTACTTCGCCTACGCCACGGTGGAGGAGGTGCCGCGCGGGCCCCCCCCCTCCTCCCCCTCCTCCTCCTCCTCCTCCTCCTCCTCCTCCTCCTCCTCCTCCTCCTCCTCTTCCTCCTCCTCCTCCTCTTGCGCCCTTGCTCTCCTCAGCGAGCATCCCGGCTGCGCACGATGCCCGCCCTGGCAGCGGCTCAAGCACCTCCTTCGAGCTGCCCCGTCTCCTGGCACACAGGACTGGCCACAGGCGCGATTCGCAGTGTCCTCAGCCTGCTTCAGTATTCGGAACTCTTGGGCATTCCTGCGCGAGCTCTTTCACCTGCTGCTCCGCGTGGGCTCCGCAGGACCTGCACCACGTCACACTATCATTCTGCCAGAGACGGTGGCCGGGGTGGGCCTGGGAGACCACTCTTGGGACCCCAGGGCACTGGTGCGAGATGAGGCGCGCCCGAGACGACCGCCCAAGACCGCACAACCTGCAACCCCAACCACCCCTGGGAGCTTGGAAAACGACGTGACCTTTACTGTCTGGGACCAGCTCCCAAAGCGGGGCCTCCGAATTCGCTTTCCTACTCACAGTCTCTCTCTCTCTCTCTCTCTTTGTTCTCTCTTTTTGTACTGTACCATCTTGGGCCGTTTTGGTGGGCTCCTGGCCCGTCTGATGCAGTCGGAAGGGGCCTCTCTGGGCCGACTTGGGGCCGACTTGGGGCCCCCTTGGGGCGCTCCAGGGTCGTTTTGGAGGCCATCTTAGGCGTGTTGGAGGCCTCTTGGGCCGTCTTGGGGCTCCTTGGGGCCATCTTGGGGGCTTCTTAGGTCATTCGAGGGCCATCTTGGAGACCTCTCGAGCTTTCTTGGGTCGATGTTTGGGGTCTTTTGAGCCGTCTCGGTCCGTCGGATTGCCGAAAAGAAGCAAATGCCACATTCATTCAAAACCCTAGGTAAATCCATACATTCGCTCCTGCGGGCCTTCCTGGAGGCCCTCTTGGAGGCCGCTATGGCGAACTTGGAGGCATCTTGGACTCTCTCGGGCCGTCTTCGACAGGCCATCTTGGATCATCTTGGGCGAGCTTGGAGGCCATCTTGGCCGATCTGGAGGCCGTCGGGGGCCATCTTGGAGCCATCTGGGCCAGCAAATTTTTGGCAACCCGCACGCTGGGCACCCATGTGGAAAGACCACAGGGGGCGGCGGGTCTAACAGCCTTCGGCCCGTCCCGCCTTCGTGCCTGTGTTGCAGGTATGGAGCCTATTGGATGTTCGTTGGGATCTCGCGGGGGAACCTCTCGGGGGCCTCTTGGAGGCAGGTCGGAGGCCTCTTGGGGGCCGTTTTGGGGCCTCTTTTGAGCCTCTTGGACGCCTCTTGGTGCCTCTTGGGGGCCTCCTGGGGGCCTCTTGGGGCCACAAGGGCGCCCCTTGGAGCCTCCTTGGGGCTTCTTGGGGCCGAAGGCTTGGATTGTCGGTTCGTGTTCCCTCTTTTGGGCCTTTTTTGGGGCCGTCTTGGGGCCTTCTTGGGCCGTCTTGGGCGCCTCTTGGGCCGTCTTGGAGCGCTCTTAGGCCGTCTTGGGGCCCTCTCGGATGCCTCTTGGGCCGTTTTGGGGTGGTCGTGGGGGCCTCTTGGGCCGCCTTGGGGCGTCGGAAAGCCGCAAAGGCGAGAACGCCAACCTCTGTCACTGATCACTGATTGTTGCCTCTTGGGTCCTCTTGGCAGGCCTCATAGAGGCCTCCTCTTGGGGCATCTTGTAGGCCTCCTGGGCCATCTTGGGGCCATCTTGGGCGTCTTGGGCCCATCTTTGGGCGCCTTGGGCCCTCTCGAGGGCCGCGTGGGGCCTTCTTGGCCCGTCTTGGGCTCTCTCGGGCCCCCGAAAGTCAGCCCAGGAGAACCGCGGGAAGCCCCCGGAGGTCTGGGAAATTGGGGTCTGGGCCCTTCAAGACTCCTCAGGACGGAGGACTGAGGCTCCAGGGATTGGGCGAAGGACCTAAGGACACGAGCACACCGTGCCCAGAGTCACGGTGGCGGATGTACGTATTTGTATTGACGTATGTATACCCACGCTGTCAATGTATCTGTCTATGCGTGTGTCTCTGTCTGCCTGTCTGAATGTCTGTCATCCTGCCTCTTTGTTTGACTGTCTTATCTGCCAGTCATTCTGTGTGTCTGTCAGTCACTTGTCTGCCTCTCTTTCTCATTTCCCGCTCTCAGTATGTCTCTCTCCCTCTCTTTCCCCCCCTCTCTTTATGTCTCTCCTCTCTCTTTCTTTTCTCTCTCTGCCCCTCTCCCTCTCTTCCCCCCTCTCTGCATGTCTCTCTCTCTCTCTCTTTCTCTCTCTCTCTCTCTTGCTTTTTGTTGATGCCCCCGTCTGCCTACCGAGGGCGAAGAAAGGCAGCACGAGAATGAGGAGTCGGAGGTACGTGATGCTGTACTTTATGCTGGCGATGATGAGGGGTACCCAGCTGCCTGCTCCAAACCCCTTGACCGTGCCTGTACAACAGCGCAAAAGGAAGAATAGTGAGTGTAGGAACGGCGCAACTCCGACGACTGGTCTGAACTGGGACGGGTCGTGGAGTCGACCTCGTCTTCGTCCACGCGTAGGGGGGATGTCGAGTTCACGCCCTGCTGCAGTTCAGCGAGCGGGCTGAGCTGAGGCGGGTCGTGAACTTGACCTCCTCTTCGTCTGCGCAAGTGGGAGGAGGAAGAGGAGGAGGAGGAGGAGGAGGAGGAGGAGGAGGAGGAGGAGGAGGAGGGGGAGGAGGAGGAGTAGGATGAGCAGCGTTGGAAAACACAACTGTCTGCAGGTCCCAGGTCCCAGGAGGAGGAGGAGGAGAAGGAAGAGGACGAGAGGGGGAAAATCAATATGAGGGTATAAGAAGGAAACGGCCTCTTAGGAGCTCTCTTGGGGCCTCCTGGGAGCCTCCTGGGAGCCTCTCCTCTTGGTGCCTCTTGGGGGCCTGGGGGACCGCTTCGGCCGTCTTCGGGAGCTCTCGGCCCGTCTGACGCCTCTGGACGCCGTCTTGGCGGCCCACTTGGCCGTCTTCGTGCCGGCGTGTGGCCGGCGTGTGGCTCTACTGGGAGGGTCCTGGTCGGGCATAGCCAGGACCCCGGGTAAGGGGACCCGGTTAGTGGTAGGGCCCTGGGGCCCCTCGATTGGCCAGATTTACTAAACCAGGTTTGCCGTAACTGGCGTTTTTCGGGTGACGGCAGTTCGGGTTAGTGGAAATGGGACCGGGGGGCGCCCCCGGAACAAATCACTAAACCAGGTTCCACTAAACCCAGTTCTGCCAACGCCCGACTTGGGCGATTTTGGGGTCCTCTTGGGCCGACTTGGGGCCCTCTCGGGGGCCTCTGGGGCTGTCTTGGAGCTATCTAGGCCGCCTCTCGGACCCTCTGGAGCGGGCGGAAGCCCGAATGTGCGAGAGCCTCCAATTCCTGGAAACACCACATGAAAGTCATTGACGTTTCCCTCCTCGGGCTCTCTCGGAGGCCTCTCGGAGCTCTCTTCGGCCGTCCTGGAAGCCTCTTGAGCCTCTTATGCCGTCTTGGGCCATCTTGGGCCGTCTTGGTGTCATCTTTGCTATCTTGGAAGCCGTTTTGATAGCCATATTTGCCGTCTGAAGGCGGAACAGAAAACACATCCAGGAGGGCGCCTTTTTTCGGTGCGCGCGAGGAGGGGGGGTCTGACCTAGAAGACACAACCAGTTTTCCAGTCACCAGACGAGCATTCCGGCGCGCCCGCTCCGTACAGGCACGGTGGCGGATATTGATGCTGCTAACGATGGCGGTGCTGTTGCTGCTGATGATGATCACGATGAGCAGGAGGACGAGGGGGAGGGGGACGGAGGACCAGGAGGATCACCAGGGATACGTGGCGTTCTCTCCCGTCCCCCCCATCTCTCGTGGGGAGGACGACCCAGAGGAAAGCGTTCGACGAAGGACTTTGATATCCGACGCATCGAAAAACATCGCCGCGAAAAACCACGACCAGAGAAACATTACCTATCTTTCTGCACCACTTTTGGAGCAGGATGCATTTGTGAGGGTTCCTGGGCCCGCAGCCAGGCGAACCGCCCGGCTCGTCCAAATGGACATGCCAGGATCTCGGGGGAGCTGACTGCGACGACGTGGTTGCGGCGGCGGCGACGACGGCGACACGAAAGACGACCCCGGCACAGGCAGTCGCGTGCCCCTTCCCGTCTTGCTCGCGCCTGGCACCGGGCCGCGAGGGCTCTGCGGCGGCGTCCCTGGTCATATTGCAGGCCGCCCGCCCGCAGCTCTGCCCCCTTGGGTTGCCTTGGCATCGCTCTGCCGTGTGCATTGTTTTCTCGGCGAGGGCCATCAAGAATCAACATGGATCATCTTGCGAGAGGGAGGAGGAGGAGGAGGAGGTGGAGGAGGAGGAGGAGGTGGAGGAGGAGGAGGAGGAAGAGCAGGAGCAGGAGGAGAGCAGGAAAGGAAAAAGGGGGAAGGGAAAGGAGGAGGAGGAGGAGGATGGAGGAGAGAGGAGGAGAGGAGGAGGGGGAGGAGGAGGAGGAGGGGACAGGAGGAGGAGGAGGATGTAAGGCAGGAGGAGGAGGAGAGGAGAGGAGGAGGAGAAGGAGGAGAGGAGGAGGAAGCGGAGGAGGAGGAGGAGGAGAAGGAGGAGGAGGAGGAGGAGTTTCTTGGTGTGGTCTGTCGAGGAGCATCGTCAATGTTCTTGCGAGGCAGCAGCGCGCGAAACCGACATATGCACGTGGCATGGACGTCGGAGCGATGGCAACGTATGCGAATACGGCAAAATGACGCAAGCAGAAACCGTCGAGGGTCCGCGCGGATTTCCCGGATCGGCGCCGGGCCCCCCTGGCGGCGCCTCCCGCGCCGCCCCGCGCGCCATGGAGGGGGTCTAGCGCCGATCTTTGAAATCTGCGCGACCTCCAACGTCCTAGCTCTTCTGTTGTATGCTTTTTTGATTGTCCAGCTGTCGCCTTCGGTTGTCTCGTCGTCGGCGGAGGTGCTGTTTTTTTTTTCGTGATCGTCAACATCCATCTCTCTCTCTCTCTCTCCCTCATAGCAATCCTCCTTCTCCTGGGAATGGGGCTGAGGATAGGAGGTGGTAGTAGGAGGAGGAGGAAGAGGAGGAAGGAGGGGGCCTGAGGAGGAGGAGGAGGAGGAGGAGGAAGAGGAGGAGGACGAGGAGGTGGAGGGGGAGGAGGAGGAGGAGGAGGAGGACGGAGGGGACGGAGTGGAGGAAGGAGGGGGACTCAGGAGAGGAAGGAGGGTAGGAGGAGTGAGGAGAGGAGAGGAGGAGGAGGATGAGGGGGACTGAGGAGGAGGAGGAAGGAGGGAGGAGGCGGAGGAGTAGGTTGGGGAGGAAGAGGAGGAGCAGGCAGGAGAAAAAGCGAGGAGTTAACGGAATCTGCGAACCGTGTCGGTTACTAAGACCCCACCAACAGCAAGAAGAAGTGTCAGGCGGGCGGGGGGGGGGCCAGTGGCCTTCATGATTTTGACACTGGGTAACTTCGAACGTGCTCAACAGTATTCCTATTGT